TTTTTATATATATTTTAATTTAGCTTTCAAGCTGAAAATTTTATAGCTAGATTTTAGTAGAAATGTATGAAAATAATGCAATAATAATTATTAGTTTATTAGCAGGCTTGATTGATCATGATTGATTGGGTACTTTGACATTAACCAGTTAAGCTATATTATGCTATGTATACATTTTATAGCTAAATTTGATTGATTATCCTGTTAATAAACAGCCCATATTGCCCATCACAGATCAACTAGATATGTCCAATAGTCGAGAATTATGTGATTGTCAACTTGATTCCTGATGGACTGTTATTAAGTGCACTCAAAGAGCCGTAGATAGACAGTCGATGTAGGCCTAGCTACAGGCTAAAGTTCTAGAGCTATAAAAATGAAATTTACGAGCGCACATGTAGATAGACAGAGTCTATATTAGATTACACACTCATCTCGTTAAACAACAGAGCGTCCGAATGGTGTTGGAAAATATTGAAATTTGTTGTTTGCACAGTTGAGATGCGCTTGAAGACATCAATAGGTTAGTTATTGAACAGGCTCCGAGGCGTGCGGTCAGAGCAGTTTTCACCCAGCATCAACTTTCTAAATAAGGAAGCGACTGAATTCAAAACAAATATCAATACTGATTAAGTTACCTAATCAACAAGTTTTCACTTTCAATTTTTATCAAGATGGTTAAGAATCGTCGCTTTGAAGAAGACGCAGGTACTTGATGAAGAAGAACTGACGACGCTGCAATTTAATTCAATTCAATTGTTTGTGGAAATAGTTCAATTAAACAAATATTTAAACAGCTCTCCAAGTTGGGGCTGCGTGCACATATTAAGATTCTGTTACGCTTCAATGAAGCTCGAGTTGATTCAGAAAATATTTAAAGGCAAATCTAACTGGTTCTGTAAAGCATTGTGATCATGAGTTGAGTTGAGATAAATATTTGTAAAAAAAAAATCAACTTTGTTAATATGAAGAAATTCTGATATAACTGTAATAGTTGGAGCTTTAACTGAAGCGGATGTCAATCACATAGTTAGCGCCACATTCAAGGTCTTTTAATCTCTCTAAACTTGTAATTTCTATGATAAGCAAATTCACCTGTTAGACGAGCCCCTCTTGGCTTTTAGCAAAGTCATAGGCAGTTGGAAAAAAGTAGCACAAAGCGGTTATATCTATCAGAGACGGTGGCTAATCTTAAATGAACTTAGTAGAGCCGCTGCAGGTAGCGTGGGGTGTGGGGTGTGGCTGTGACGACAGAAGAGGCGCTAGCTAAAGCGCCTCGATAAACAATCTCTGTGTAAATGGAATATTTTCTCCTATTTTTCCAAATTAACACACAGGTAGAGTCGGGCAATCTGATTCCTCAGTTTGCCGCGCAGATAAGCTATATCGTAAATCTGCTTGTGATATGCGTGATGGCAGGAGTGGAGAATTTGATATACGATTATGTATGGGCAGCCACGTGCCAATGTGTGGTTAGGCTAAGACTTGTTTTTGGGGTAATTCCAGTGCTCTCAAGTGCTACGCAAAAGAACAGCAAAAAGCTAATGACCTACAGGCGACCTACAGCCAATATGGCTGATAGCAGAGCATATATTGAAGGCGTCAATCATTCATTGATTAACGCTGAGTGTATGTAAATACATTTGTATATAGCACATACACACACGCATACACACACACACACACACACACACTCGCATACACACGCTTATGGCATTATACTGTGACTCAAGTTGAAGTTCAATATTCCGTTTGATAATTGTCTTGAATCACGTCTAATCGCAATCTATTTTCAGCATATGGTCTGGGTGTCCGGCACTGGCAAACTTTCCTGTTCTTCTTCGCACTGACGGTGGCCTATGCCCAGCGCGTCAATCTGTCTGTGGCCCTGGTGGCCATGACAGATGCCGCTGCCGCCAATCCCGCTTTTCCGGTACGTGGACTCTATATGTGTATATGAATCATATGATTTATATCAATTTGTTTCGCTCCCTTGCAGGAGTACGCATGGTCAGAGAAGACTAAATCATTGATCTTGAGCAGCTTCTTTTGGGGCTATGTGCTGACCCAAGTGCCCTCCGGTCAGTTGGCTCGCAAATTTGGCGGCAAGATCACGCTGCTGGTGGGTCTGTCCATCTGCTCCGTGCTCAATGTGCTTACGCCCATCTTTGCCCGGTGGGGCGACTGGCAATTGGTTTGCGCGTTGCGTGTGGTTGAGGGCTTGTGCCAGGGCGTTGTCTTTCCATCGGTGCACACGCTCATCTCCGCCTGGGTGCCGCCCAATGAGCGACCTGTCCTTGGCACCTGCGCCTATGCGGGCAACCAGTTTGGCACGATCGTCATGATGGCCACGAGTGGCCTGCTCGCCTCCTCCTCCGCTGGCTGGCCGAGCATCTTTTACGTTTCCGGCGGCGTCGGCTGCCTTTGGGCCATTCTATTCTTCATCTGGGGCGCCAGCTCACCGGCGCACTACAAGAAGATTTCCGTGGAAGAGCGCAAGATGATCGAGCTGGCGCAGGCGAGCGAATCCGTATCGGAGCAGCCCAAAGAGAAGCTGCACACGCCCTGGCTCAGTTTCTTCACGTCGCCGGCCTTCCTGGCGCTGATCGTGGCGCACAGCGCCAACAACTGGGGCTTCTGGACGCTGCTCACCGAAATTCCCAGCTACATGAAGAATGTGCTCGGCAAGGACATCAAATCGAATGCGTTGCTCTCGGCCCTGCCCTACTTCGCCATGTTCTGCATGTCGTTTGTCTTCTCGGCCATTGCCATGCAGCTGAACAAGCGCAACTGCATCTCGACCGTGGCCAGCCGGAAGCTCTTCAACTCGATGGGCATGTGGGTGTCGATGTGCTCGCTCATCGGCCTGGCCTATGTCACCGCCGATCAGAGTACTTTGGCCGTCGCTCTGCTAACCGTGACTGTCGGCTTCAATGGCGCCTGCTATCTGGGCTTCCAGATCAATCACATCGATCTCTCGCCCAATTTCGCGGGCATTCTGATGGGCATCACCAACTGTGTGAGCAACATCATGAGCATCATAGCACCTCTACTTGTCGGCTTCATTGTGACCAATGAGGTAGGTTGAAAGAGAGAGAGAGATAGAGAGGGAGGGCAGATGGTGGACATTATATTAACTGGTTTTCTTTCTGCAGCACGATGTGGAGCAGTGGCGCATTGTCTTCTTCATTGCAGCGGCCATCTATCTGGTGGGCAATGGTTTGTTCGTCATCTTTGGACGCGCGAGTGTGCAGCCCTGGAACGATCCTCCAGCAAAGCCACGTCGCAACTCTACGCCCCAGGTGGAGTCTCAGCACTAGAGACTCATAGAGAGTAAAAGTGAGCGAACATGAGAGAGAGAGAGGGAGAGAGAGAGAGAGAGAGAGAGAGAGAGTCTAGCTAGTCATCTAGTTAACATTTCCAACCCACTAGCTGCTTCGGTCCGCTGTGTTCGACTGAAGCTCATCAATTTAAATGTAATTCGAGTTTTGATGTATTCTAGCATCATTTGCTATTTGTATATATCTATATGTGTAGATATATAACTACTATTTGAATTTGTCGTCTTAAGTTTAGTGTGTAGTCTATAGCTAAGTTCCCGTTGCATATGTATATAAAGACCAAATAACGAAACAGAAAACAAATACAACAATAAAATGTTGAGAAACCAATTAAATGTGTCTTAAATGGATTATTTGTGGGGAGTATCAGCTGGAAAAATGTCTAAGATTATATGATGATTCTAAATTCTAAAGTAAAAATTATTTATTGAGGATTTTGAATAAAGATATTTTGAATGAATTTTTTTTTATTTTTTTTTTATTTTTAATCTTTTTTATTTTATTTTAATTTCTTTGATGAAGATTTTAAATAAATATATTTTTAATTAACTTTTTTATTTTTTATTTATTTTATTTCTTTGATTTTAAATAAATATATTTTTAATTAATTTTTTATTTTTATTCTATTTTATTTTAATTGCCTAATGCACAGTGTATCAAGAATTACTAAATTGTACTTCAAGTCAAGACTTGCCTGAGTCTATAAAGCGTTAGATTCCCATGTCGTTCTCTTGGCCAGCTTTTTTTCCTCTTTGAGCTGTATTTCCCTACAGCAATAGACCCGTGTGCATTTTCTAATAAGTCTAGCACCTTTTTAGCTATCTAATCAGAAGTCAAGTTTACACATATCAATCAAGCGAGGCGTCAGCAGTAAAGCGACGCTGACAGTTTTGGGCGACGAGGGGTTAATCCAAATTTATGAGCCCAAAACACTTGACTCAAGATGCTGGGCAATATTGTGCATCATCTAGTTGGTTAAGAGTTTTCAGAGCGAAAGGAACGTAAGGCTCGAATACCATGTCAGGGATTATTAAGATGCCTAAAAATCGCCGCTTTGAAGCTGAAGGTACGTTGTCAAATAAGCATAGATTATATGTGAAGAATCGAAATCAATTTTGGCTTGCACTTTATCTAAGAGAGCTCAAAAATTCTACCTTACTCCATGCCTTTGAAGGTGATTTGAATGTCATTGGCATTTAACTTGAAAAGTCGTTAGTTTCTGCATAAATCAGCTAAGCTTTACCTCATGTTTAATATAAATATTTGCTGTAATATATTTAATTTTATCAAGCTCATGGCGTCAGCTCTCCAGATCGACTCATTTCCAGTTAAATATATATAGCTAAGCATTCTGCTTATCTAACACGTAAATGATAATAATGTACTTAGTCTTCATAAAGATAATCCCCACGCGTCTATTGCGTAGGGAGGCTCGTCCATGCTGAGAGTTTCCAGTGGAATGCGAGCATAGTGTCTACATATATCAACTCTGTATGTCTCTTCCCTATAGAGTTCACTAGAGATTCAGTAGAAAGCGAGCATAGAGTCTATCGATGCATATATCTACTCTATTTATATCTCTACTTTATAGAGTCTACTAGAGTATATATATAAATATATATATTATATATACTCCACATATCTCTACTCTATTTATCTCACAAACTATTTAATTTCCAGACTCAGCACTAGGCGAGCGTCATATGCAAATATTTCTGCTCTTCTGTGGTCTCATGGTTGGCTTTGCCATGCGTGTCAATCTCTCCGTGGCGATTGTGGCCATGACCGAGCTGCCTGTAAGAAATTTCCCCAGCTCCCAAGCGCAATTCGATTCAATTTATTGGCCTCACTTTCTTTAGGATTATCATTGGAGCGAGCGCACAAAGTCTCTGGTCTTGAGCAGCTTCTTTTGGGGCTATGTGCTGACCCAGGTGCCAGCTGGCGTCTTGGCCCGCAAATTCGGGGCCAAGGCAACGATTGTGACGGGCTTGTCCATCTGCTCCGTGCTGAATGTGTTCACGCCCATCTGTGCGAGGCTGGGCGGTTGGCAGCTGCTCTGCGGCGTACGTCTGCTCGAGGGCGTCTGTCAGGGGGTGCTATATCCGTCTTACCATACGCTGATCTCGGCCTGGGTGCAGCCCAGTGAGCGCGCCTCGCTGGGCACCTATGCCTACATGGGCGCGCAATTCGGAACCATTGTCATGTTGGCCACCAGCGGCATATTGGCCTCCCTGGCTGGTTGGGCGAGCATCTTCTATATATCCGGTGGCTTTGGCTGCCTTTGGGTGGCGGCCTATTGGCTGCGTGGCTCCAGTTCGCCGGCGCAGTCGAAATATATCTCCGAGGAGGAACATCAATTGATTCAGCTAGCGCAGGCCAGGGAAGTGGAAACCAAATTGGAGCAGCCCAAGGAGAGCTTATCCCCGCCCTGGCTGAGTTTCTTTACGTCGCCCGCCTTTCTGTCGCTCACGGCCACACATTGCGCCTCCACTTGGGGCTTTTGGACGCTGTTGACACAGATTCCCAACTACATGAAGAATGTCCTGGGCAAGGACATAAAGTCGAATGCGCTGCTCTCCTCGCTGCCCTACACTGTGATGCTGCTGCTCAGCTGGTTCTTTGTGTGGCTCTCCAAGATACTGCAGAAGAGTTCCATTTCCCTCAGCTCCAGTCGCAAGTTCTTCAATTCCATTGGACAATTTTTGCCGATGTGCCTGCTGGTCGCATTGGGCTATGTGCAACAGCAGCAGGACACACTGGCCGTCATCCTGCTCTGCCTGACCGTGGGCCTCAACTCTGGCTGCCAGCTGGGCTTTGTCATTAATCACATCGATCTCTCTCCCAATTTCGCCGGAGTTCTGATGGGCATCAGCAATGGGATTGCGAATATCATGAGCATAGCGGGTCCACTTTTAGTTGGTGTTGTTGTTACCAATGAGGTGGGTTGTCCTCTGTATGGGTGTATATATTATTATATATAACTGTCTCTCTCTCTCTCTCTTCCCTGTCGTTGCATCAACAGCAAGATGCCAGTCAATGGCGCATTGTTTTCTTTGTCACAGCTGCCTTCTATTTGGTTGGCAATGGGCTCTTCCTGATCTTTGGCAGTGCCTCGATTCAGCCATGGAATGATCCAACAGCTAAGAAGCAGCGCAGCTCCATGCCCCAAGTGGGGGCACAGCGAGAAACAGCAGATAGTTAGGCTTAAGCTTAAGTAGTTTGATAAGTGTGCGTTATTCACTATAATTATTAAGCAATTCAGATGTGGTATATCTATCAAATGTAACGGTATATCATCTATTCAAATGATTTACTACAATAAAAAAAATCAAATTTGCTAATGAACCTATGTTTTATACACTTCACATCCACTGATAAGAAGAGCCACCCTACGTGTGTCTAGAATGATTAGAATCAGAAATCCTCTGGGCAAAATTCAGGTCTCCGCCAGTCTATCACTCCCGCTTAGACTGGCAGGAAGTCCGATTGCTCGATAATAAACATTTACTGCATAAGCCAGCAATGTCAAGGTGCTAACTAAATAATTCCAGTTACTCACTCGGGAAGTGGGCTTTACTAATTGCAGATATTGTCAATCAATTCTGAGCAATTGGTATTCCCTCTTTCCATAAATCAGCATAATTATCTAATGTCGTAAGTCTTTGATATTGAACACGCTTACGTCTGCTGTTCGTTTGCTTCATTCACTTGCCGATTTATTGGGCAAATACTATAATACCTTGTCTGCCCGCGCGTTTACTCACAGCTCATTATCTTATCAGATCGTAAATATATATTTGCATAAAAACCAGCGGCATCCTCTGTAATCTGTCTCAGCCTGAGCTACTGTGAATCTGAATCTCTTTAAAGATACAGAGCAGAGCCATGTATAGACTTAGTTTACATAGAAGTTTTGTGCTGTGCGGTGATGCTCTACAGAGGACACACCCTAAAACAAAATGGCGAACAGCAACGGCATAGCAAAGAATCGTCGCTTCGAAGATGAAGGTACTTCATTATTAACAGGATATCTTGCATTAAAACAATGAATAAAAAAAATTATATTATTAAATATGCAAAAGAGTTTCGGTAAAAAAATAAAAAATGAACTATTTTGAGAAACCATTTGAAGTACGTAAAGTCCTTGAAAGTATCCTTTGATTTAAGATGTTTAACTCTTTTCACACATTGGTTATGTCACTTAGCAAAAGTTCAGTCAAGTTTTATTTCACAAAGGGTAATTCACTTTTAATTTATAGCCCTTATCAAAGCAGATAACTTTCCTTAGCGCGTAATCTGTCATAAGACTCAATTCTACCGAAAAAAAATTCCATTGCAACTTTGCTGACTAATAAAATAAGCTAATGAAATTATTTGCCCAGAAAAAAATAAAAAAAAAATTTACAAAATATTATTAAGAAATATAAGTAAATAAACAAAATACCTTCAATTAAATTTTGACCGGAAAAAAAAGAAAAAATATTAAGAAATATAAATAAATAAACAAAATACTTTCGACTAAATTTTGAATAAATAAAAATTTTGTATATTAGTTTAATGGTTAACTTTTCTAAGAACTGAAATTGATTTCTGCAGACATCTATCAAATATGGACTAAGTAAATGGAAAATATATTATTTTTAGGCAAATTTTTATATTCCCATTCGCTAACCCAAATTGGTTTTCCTGTCTAGATTCGGGATTTGGCATGCGGCACTTGCAGATGCTGTTGATCTTCTGTGGCCTAACGGTTGGATTTGCGATGCGAGTCAATCTTTCGGTGGCTGTTGTGGCCATGACCAATGCCACGACAGTAAACCCAGATTTTCCGGTATGCAATTTTCTCAACCTAAGTGAATTTGTAATCAATTATGAATTCTCTTTCAGGAATATCCCCTGTCGGAGAAGACAAAGTCCTGGGTGCTGAGCAGCTTCTTTTGGGGCTATGTGATGACCCAGGTGCCCGCTGGGGCCTTGGCGCGTCGCTTTGGCGGCAAGGTCACCCTGTTGACGGGGGTTTCCATCTGCTCCCTCATGAATCTATTGACGCCACTCTGCGCCCGCCTAGGCGGTTGGTCCTTGCTTTGTGGCCTGCGCTTCATTGAAGGCCTGTGTCAGGGTGTTTTCTATCCCTCATGCCATACGATTATCGCCCATTGGCTGCCGCCAAGGGAGCGCGGTTCTATGACCACATATGCCTATACCGGAAGTCAATTCGGCACGATTCTCATGCTGGTCACAAGTGGACTACTCGCATCCTCAGCTGGTGGCTGGCCGAGCATCTTCTATGCGTCGGGCGGCTGTGGCATCATTTGGGTCTTCGTTTATTACATTTTGGGTGCCAGTACGCCAAAGGACTCCAAGAATATTACAGCTGAGGAGGTCCAGTTGATTGAAATGGAGCTGGCCAAAGAGCGGACGGTCAATGCGGAGCTGCCAAGCTATCGGCAAGCGACGCCCTGGCTGAGTTTCCTAACCTCGGGCCCGTTTCTGGCCCTGACCGCAGTGCATTGTGTCTCGGCCTGGGGCTACTGGACGCTTCTCACGCAAATTCCCAGCTACATGAATAACGTTTTGGGCAAGGACATCAAATCGAATGCTCTGCTCTCCGCTCTGCCCTATGTGGCCAACTTTTTGCTGAGCTTTCCATTCGTCTGGTTGGCCAAGTGCATGGAGAAGAGGGAATCAATATCGCTGGCCTTCAGTCGGAAGTTCTTCAATACAATTGGTCAATATATACCCATGTGTCTGCTGGTCGCATTGGGCTATGTGACCAAGGAACAGGACACTCTGGCCGTCATCCTGCTAACATTTACCGTGGGCATCAACACGGCCTGCCACTTGGGCTTCCAGGTGAACCACATCGATCTGTCGCCCAACTTTGCTGGCACTCTGATGGGCATCAGCAATGCATTGGCCAGCATCATGAGTCTCAGTGCACCGCTGCTGGTGGGCGTGATTGTTACCGATAAGGTGGGTCTCACTTGCACATATGGGACATCAATTGGATTTGGAATGATTTTTGATTTGATCTTCTCTTTTTTCTACTTTATTCCCTCAGCACGACGCGGAGCAGTGGCGCATTGTCTTCTTTGTGGCCGCTGGGTTTTATCTGGTGGGAAACGGTCTGTTCGTTCTCTTTGGACGCGCCGATGTCCAGCCCTGGAATGACCCACCTGCTAAACGTGATCACAAATCCATACCACAGATGGAATCACAAAAATCTGATCACTGTGATAAATGATAACAAAAGATAGCCCACAATTGCAGTTGTTCGTTATCGTACCTCACTTAGTCGTAATCTTCATGAAGGCTGCTGATAGAATCTCAGCTGAGTTTGTAATCTAACTCATATTATACATATGCTGTGTTGTGTTTTGTTTAAGTTTGTGTTGTAAATGCATTTCTTAATTGCTTAAGAGGGAAAGTTAAAATTAATAAAAAAAAATAAAAATAAAAAAAAAATAAAAAAAAATTGTATTTTTGGAATTTCTAAAAACTCAGTTGGAAGCGAAGTGCCCCATTTGGAGATTGTAGATCTAAAGCTATACATGAAATCAAATCGATCTATTAGCAAGGACTTAGCTCTGAAATGGGCAATAAAACTATTTGATAGATCAGGGATTAGGATACTAGCTGAATGGCATCTAGACATCCATCTATCTCCGACCTTAATTGCTTCAGGCATTCAGAGTACTATGCGATCAATATATCAAAAAACTAAAAATCAATCAACTTTTCGCTCTGTCATCTCTTCACTGTGATCACCTACGTATGCTAGACCAAATTATTAAAGCCCAAAAAAGTTTTTGCCTGATCATCGCATAATAGTTCTCTGAATATATTTAAAGAGTCGCGTCTTATCTAATCATATTATAAATAAGACTATTTACTTAAGATGCATAAATACAGAAGCTGTCAAGCATTGTTGCAGCAGTCGTAATATCTTCAACGGACTTCCAGTTACTAAAAAGATCTTGTGGAGTGCGGTAATGCAGCGCATTGGAGACGGAATATAAAAAGAGTCTAGAGAAGAGCAATGTCAAAGGAATCCAGTCAAGAGGAATACAGGATGGTGAAGAATCGTCGCTTTGAAAATAAATGTAAGTAAAGGACATTGCCGGAGTAAGGTCTATACCTAAAAAGAAGCTGGAAATTACAGATAAAATTGAAGCTAAAATCTCAAATAAAAATAGTATTAAAAAAGTGTTATATCAAAAATAAATTCACACTTAAAACTTAAAAATATATTCGAAATAAATAAATATATGTAGTTTCTAATCAAATCATTCTAAAATAAATCACTTTCAAGTGAAGTTTCCTAACCTTGAGTTAAAAGAGAAACCTTTGCTAAATCATGTCAATGTGAAGACATTGTAGATAAGTTTGGCCTTGATAGTTCATAAATCAAACGCTGCTGTGGAGGAACGGGTATAAAATTGTTTATCTCTTGATCTTGCAGCTACTGGATATGGTATACGACATTTGCAAATCCTCTTGCTCTTTGCCGCTCTGACCGTGGGCTTCGCAATGCGAGTGAATCTATCCGTGGCTATTGTGGCCATGGCCGAATTTCCCGTATGTTGAAATTGAAATCAAATATAAAGCAGATTGACTTACCCCCATATGAAATCCCTTTTTATAGGAATACAACTGGACGGAGAGAATCAAATCCTTGGTGCTGAGCAGCTTCTTTTGGGGCTATGTGACCACACAGGTGCCAGCCGGTCCGTTGGCTCGTCGATTTGGTGGCAAAGTGACAATCCTGAGCGGATTATCCATTTGCTCCGTGCTGACTGTTCTGACACCGCTCTGTGTGAGGCTGGGTGGATGGCAAGTGCTCTGCGCTCTGCGCTTGGTTGAGGGCGTGTTTCAAGGGCTGCTCTTCCCCTCTTGCCATACGGTGATCTCGGCCTGGGTGCCTCCCAATGAGCGCGCGACCATGGGAAACTTTGCCTATGTCGGCTTTCAGTTTGGAACGATTATTATGCTGGCCACCAGTGGCCTCTTGGCCTCCATGGGTGGCTGGCCGAGCATCTTCTATGCATCGGGGGCTGCTGGCTGCCTTTGGTCGGTCGTGTACTACTTTTGGGGCTCCAGCACGCCAGCTCAATCCAAGAGAATAACGCCAGAGGAGAGAGAGCTCATTGAGCTGGGACATGCGAGCGAGCGAACTGAAGATGCGGAACTACCGAGCCATCATCAGATCACGCCGTGGCTAAGTTTCTTCAAGTCACCAGCTGTGCTGGCTTTGATTGCCGTGCAATCTGCCTATGCCTTCGGATTCTGGACTCTACTAACCCAGATACCCAGCTACATGAAGAACGTCTTGGGCAAGGACATCAAGGCAAATGCCCTTCTCTCTGCATTGCCCTACACGACCATGTTTGTGCTCAGCTTTGTGTTCGCTTGGCTCTCCAAGCGATTGCAGCGAACGGAATGTGTTTCGCTCTCGTGGAATCGAAAGTTGTTCAACTCGATTGGAATGCTGGGTCCGATGGGTCTGCT